ACTACTACTACTACTAGCACCTCTACTACTGCTGACAGGAATAACCAGGAACCGAGTGGTCATAACACCAAAGCAAGAGATATGGTAGTACCAACCCTGTTTTCACAGGCCAAAGTCTACTCCCACCGGCCTCTACGTTTCAGGGTGGCTCTCTTGTGGATCCACCTCCAAACTAAGCTGTCTTCGGAAGCACACCCGGTTGATGCTTGTGAGCACTTAGGGCTTAGATCTTTACTGCTTTAGGGCATCAGGGCTTCGGGATGTCCCATATTATCTACCTGTTTGCGCGCTGTGTTACCTTCACTGTGTAGCTAGTGCAAACTTTTCTACACAGAGGGCTTGAACAGTAGTCGCGGTAACAATCAACATGACGACTGTACACGGTCACCTTTATGGTACGATGCAAAACAACACCCCCAACACCTAAAGGCACGGTCGCATACTAAAGAAACAAGTGATGCCGGCCTGTAGGTGGATGAGTGCCAAGCAGTGTGGAGTAGTATCCGGCGTGGAGTTGCCTCTCGCATCGTCAAAGTTGAAAGCTATGTTACACATGCACGCGACCACGAAAAGTGCCTCTGGTTGGGGATGCAAAAGGGCGTAGCCTTTTACACACGGCCGCTGATTGGTCAAGGTGGGCAGTTGTTGCCGGATGGCTCGCCACACTTGTTTTGCTGGGTGAACTCATCTGCTTACTGCACGAAGCAATCAGACTACCGATGGCTAAAGCTAGGACGAGCGCCAGCTCCAGCCTTGATTGCTCCATGCCTGGTTCCGAGAACCGGAGCAGCTCCACCAGGACCAATCATAATCACGGAGCGAGGTCCACGACCACCTGCGATCAACGGCCTCGTCTCTCGACGGGCGTTGGTATGCAGCTGCTGTCTTGCCCTTGCCCTTGCCCTTCCTTTCTGCCCGTGTCCGGGAGGGAAATGCGAGCATACTTGGCCTGCGCCTGGCGAGAACGCTCGGCTTTACGCTCAGCCTCTTCAACCAGGTTTACCGCGTATTCCGGATCGTCGCGGAGCAAAGTAGATAGCTCCTCCGCTACCGCAGCGGCCTGTCCGTTGCGAAGCTCAAGCTCGCCATGACCAAAGGTGAGCAGACGAAATCCGGATTGGGTTTTGGCAACGTTCTTCACGAAGTCCTGGAAGCTGAGGATTGCCCCGTACCATGTGAAGCCGAAAGGTGCGTCATCCGGCGTGGACACTAGTCCCGCTGCGCAGAGATCGTTTCCGATGTCGTCAAAGTAGATCAAGCGACAATGGGGCACATCGTCACGACGGTTGCCGGTGGCTTGCGTGACAACAGCACTTGATGCTACAGCCGTCTTTCTCTGCGATGTTGTTTTGCCGGGATCTGGAAAGTGGGCGTGATTGAGGCAGTCCATAAACCTTGCTGAGTGTCTCGTACTGCCAATGGCGGTCATAGAGCAGGCATAGACATTGTCTTTGTTGAACCTGTCGAGCACCGAGATATACCCCTTTGAAATAACCTCTTTCAGTTCGAGCTTAGCCTTGCGAACCGTCTCGCCATCGAAGGATGTCATGCCTCTTCCGACGACGTCTTTCGACGCGCTTTTGAGCTTGGCTGCGAAAACCTTCGGGGCGTCCTGAGCGGCTGCGAGTTGGTCTGTGAAAGCTTCCCTTCCTCTTGCCAGCAATGTTCTCCGATTTTGTTGACGGGACCACCGCATTCGAAGCAAATATGCTGGCCTTCAAGTATCCACCACCGCACCAGTACCATCAGTGCCCAATGCTTCGTCTGACATGACTTCGGTTGTAGCTGCTGCAGTGGGTATCAAAGAAGGCGAGCTTTCACTCATGTATCCCAGAGAACAAACCAGCAAGTAGCGTATACGGCTGATAACCTATAGAATCCACAAGGTACGCCGTTAAGCCATGTGCATCAAGTATGCGGACTTTCTACACAGAGTCGGGCTTGAGCAACAGTCGCGGTAACAATCAAGATGACGCCTGTACACGGTTACATAAACTCCTACGTGTGGTACGATGCAAAACAACACTTAGTGGGTCCTACTGCCCGTATCAACTTTGGGTAGGAACGTCAGTTCAGGTGAGCCAGGTCATGCTACATCCCAAACCCTAAGCCCGAAACCCTAAACCCTAAACCGCTGAAACCCTAAACCCCTAAACCCTACACCCTGAGACCTAAAGGCTCTTCACTGGCATCATGACTCCGTCCGCTTCGAAGGCCAAAGCCTCTGAATAGGGATATACCTATGACTTACATGTCAGATTATGTACGGTAACTGACATGTTGTATTGCTTCGTTGTATTGCGTCTGGCATGTTCGAAAAATGTACTATATTGTATGTTGTGGTCTCCTGGTGCAAAATCACCAGGATCCACGCCACGGGCTGTAGGCGTCGACCGTGACCGACAATGGGCTATTTCTGTTGGTAGCCTCCTTCTATGTTTGCTCACCCCAAATTTTCGGCTTGCGTGAAACTCCCAAGTACACAGTGAAGCGGAGCAATGTGAAAAACACAATAACGTCCTTTCCTGAAACCCTAAACAGCAAGCCAGGAAACGCCCACCACGGTGATGACCACGATCACCGCCGGGAATGTGAGCATCCTCAAAGGCCAAATAATGTGGGAACCTGATTCAGAAGCCCTGGTCCTATAATCCCCGAATATTAGGACTCATATAAAGAACAGATTAGGATTCATATGAAGAACCCTTACAAAATGATCCAAAGTTTCTTCATCAGGTTGCTATATCGGCTTTAGTTCTCTGTGGGCCTTTGGGCTTCAAGCTTTGGTGCTTCCCGGAACCTTCACCCTCGCCAAACTAAAACTTCTACCCCTAACTCCAAACCCCAATCTGCGAACCTCTCATATTCGGCCCATCCTTCACCGACTTGGAAGTGTGTTTTCAAGAGGTAGGGTCTCGTATCTGTGTTGGGTCCAAACTCCAGGTTTGCCAACGTCCAAAACCCCTGGAATTCCGGTAGTCCCGGTTATTTCAGTCCACACACCGTCAAGACTGCGAGGTACTGAGCGGAGGCAAGGATTCAGCTAGGGCCTGAGGGTTCTAGAGGGTTTGGGGTTTCAGGGTTCAGGATTTAGGGGCTTAAGGACTAAATCCTCCGACTTCCAATGTAAAGTCTAAGGGAGCTCTCAGCTTCCCGGCCGTGCGTTCGTTTAATTGCCGTCCCGTCGCACTGCGCTCGTCCAGTACATCCGCTGGCCGTAGACAAAGACCTTGTTGTCTGCAGCCTGGGCCACGGTCCCATAACTGGCAGCCGGGAAAGACTGAGCCCTAAACCCTAAAGCCAAGGTTGGGGTGTTGAGGTTGCGGTTGAGGGCTAAGGGCTCAGGCTGCACTGCATGCATGCGTGTCTACAACATACATACATACCATACCATACCATGCCATACTATGCCATACCATACGTTACCTTACCATACCATAGCATGCCATGCCATACCATGCCGTAGCATACATTACCATACCATACCATGCCATGCCATGCCATACCATGCCATGCCACGCCATACCACACCATACCAGACCAGACCATACCACACCAGACCATACCATATTTCACGCAGCAGACGCGTGTTAATTATTCGACCTGTATTGCCATCATATGCCGCCACAGGGCCTCAGCAATTGCAATCGGCTTGGGGCTCGGTGTCATTATAGTTGAGGATCCTTCAGGAACAACAAATATCCACCAACAAGGCGCGCGACCTCTCGGTAATTACCATTTCTGAATGGCTCGCACGCCCGCTCGGCATGCTCAGATCACTTTGCAACCCACCAACTCTTGAACATCAACCCTGCACGCTACAGCCTAAATCCCAAAACCCTGAACCCTACACCCTAAACCCCAAAACCCGGAACCCTCAACCCCCAAACCCCAAAACCCTACAACACCCGGCCTGTGGGCGACCTGGGGTCCCTTCTAAGCTTTAAGTTTGCTTCATATAAGAATATAGGGGCCTGACAAATGTTAACATGGCTTTGGGGCATAAAAGTATTTGACATTAGAACAGTAATATTAAACAATCATACTAATACAACTCGTAAAATTAGAAATAATACATAATAGCAAGGAACCCCAGAATCATATTAGGTGGTACTTGGTTCGGCCCCTATATTACAGCTACGCGCGGCAGCAGGCAGTGCCAGAAGGGCCCTCGCCCACTGCCGAACCTCTCCCTTCGGAATTCCTTAGAGGCCCAAATGACCACATCAACACCCAGACCTTCCACAAATCCTCTTCTTGTTTAAGGAGTGTGCTTTAAATTCAGAATAGGATCCTTGATATGAGTGAAGGTATACCTTCACTGGGGGATGTTGGAAGGTCTGGGCAGAAGCATCTCAAACCAGAGTTCGACCTCACAGCTTAAGAACAAGATCCTTGTGTATTTTCGGGGCCCTCGAACGAAGGATTCGGGCAGCCCCCACAATGGACTAGACCCGCTTCCGGTCGTAAAGGGTTCTCTCATGACTTCTATAGAAGGATACGTGTAGTTGCGCAGGGTAGCATTTAAGGTGGAGAGTTAGGGCTGGGGTGTAGGGTTTAGTGCTTCCGATTCTTGGGTAAGCTATAACTTAAACTTACCAGACGATGAATACTCATTACGGCCTCATACTCAATGCAACAACACCATGATGTACCATGACAACATACCACAGTGCAATGGCGGCGTATCATGGGCCAAGGGACCAGCTCAGTCGATGGCGTGTAAAGCCGTATCAGAGGCGCACGCGCGGGATATGGCAGACCCAACCTAAGTCGTGGATTAAACATGAACCTTACATGGCAGGACTCTGATTCTAGGCACTCTTAACAAAGGAACTCCAATTTTTTGAAAACCCCATGTCTGTGTGACTGCGGGGCAGGTAATAGTTAATAGTGTTTCTCAATAGCTTCAATAGCTTAGTATGTGTAAATGCTGAACTCTTCTTAAACTCGAAAACTCAAAACCCCAAACCCTAAACCCGAGCCCCGAAAGCATACACAAAACCTGGAAGGAGACTGTCGTGCATTGTGCACAGGCCTGGGCATCAACAGCCCCAGAAGTCTCGTTGTTAAGCATCATAGACCCCGATACATCGGGGCAGAAGAAGTTGAAGAAGACACCCTAGATAAAAAGATGACGAAACACCTTGAACTCTAAACCCCTAAGCACTACCTCCGCCCTAAGGGGGCTTCACAGCTTATGATTACCTTGATTAAGGAGTGCTGGGCTCTCTGGGAATGTTGGCGTCGACACAACAATAGCAGAATAGCAGGAGCGAAAAAGGACGTGTTTTGACAGATGCGGCCTTCCGGGATTGCGGCGTTTTACTGTTTTCTGCCGTGAGAATTCGCCCAAACACAAGAGCATAGACAGGACAGGCGACAATGATAATCCGCCAGTCATAGTCATAGATAGCATCGCATAAACGAAGAAACGCTCGGAAACTGCGAACTTTGCCAAGCGAAAAGGACATTAATCTGGAAAAAGCTAGGACGCCGCGGCGAAGACAACATTAAACATTCTGTGTTGCCGTGGGCACTCTTAGTATCAGAGCAGCAGCAGCAGCAGCAGCAGCAGCAACCCAAGCAAAGAGTGAGGCCATAACAAATGACAACAGTGTGAGCGGTGCTCGAAACAGTATGTCAATATGTCGGATCGCAGCACCCTAAAGCCTGAAGCCCTTAACCCGAAAGCTTAGAATCCCTAGAGTAACCTAGGCCCTAAACCCTAAACCCCAGAGTACCACACAAGAGCGAGCAGTGTCGCAACAGCCATGCTTCTCGGCTTATAGAGTCTGGGGTCACAAAGGGGCAATGTAGAGTGATGTAGCCTTTCTGTATTAGGAATTATTGTTCTGAGTTCGGAAAATATCCCCCATTACAGTACCCTTTGTGGGTTGAGGGTTTAGGGAAGTCTACAGAGAACCATTGTCAACATATTTGACATCCGCGGCACGTCTGCGCTGCCAGCACCATGTGTGGCCGCATGGCAGTCTCCTCAGCAAGCCAGTCTGGCAAGGCTAATTAGATGGCATTCCCCAACTAGAGCCTTCCGATGGAGCGAGACGGGGCAGTGTCGCAGCTCCCCGAATCCCCACTGCAACTTTGAAGGGATCCATTACCAGTGGTAAACCGGAAAGAGTCTGGAGGCTTGCAGAGCCCGAACGAGCAAGGAGAGGACTCTCTGCTAGAAGCCTGGTTTATCGTTTAGGGTTCAGGGGTTCGGGTTTAAGTTTAGTGGAATGGGTCCCGTGAGCCAACATGTGCGCTGTATGGGATCTTGAATGTCGAAAAGTGGGCCATCGCCGTATATTCTAGGGTGTCCATGTGTGAATATATGCATACATATGCATATATATTATATATATATATA